ATGACTACGACCAACGACTACGAAAATAAAGGCCGGGTAAGGGAGGTAGCTATATATATGTTATGTATATGTGTGCGTGCGCGCATGTGTGTGTGTGTAATAGAAGCAAATTTTAAAAATCCCTGATGTAGGAACACTGAGACTTAGAAACTTAGATATTCTGATGACGAAGCACGTAGATGGCATATTGAAGAGGATCCATACTGTAGGGAAAGAATTTTGATTGCGTAGAATACTAATCCACAATGAACAGAAAACTTGGCATTCCAGGCGGAATAAATTACATTTTTATTTAAATTTTGACGTATGTACCCACAATTCACTTGGCACTCTAATCGTGCCTATTACCAGAACATTTACACTTTTTTACTGTTGCGAGAGAAAGAGAGCAGAATGTAATAACGTCCAAGCGTCACAGAGGGTGAAGCTGAAAGGGCGCATTTATCCAATATGGAATATCGACAATATAGAATATATATATAGCAATGCTTAAGTACTGTTAAGTTGATAAAATGAATGAGACTCAAAAGTTCATGTGACAAAAGTTCCATATTTTAATCAACACATACGGAAAGTAAACACTTTCTCAGAAGTTTAGCAAAAGGAAACACGTTAAAATGTTCAGCGTTGTAAAGTAATACGCCACTTGTAAGATTATAACGATTAAAAAAATTATTGTATATAACTAGAACCTGGTTACGGAAGTATGGCATCATTTGTTATGTTATAGAAATAACGGTATCATTTGTAATGTGATGTAAAATACTATGCATGGTAATAATTAATTAATTTATGAAATTAATTTTGAAAAAATAGCTGAGCACTGCAATAAAATAACTATGCAAAGTACTGTAATAAAATGTATAGAATAAATTCCTTTTTTACATTATTTTTTAATATTAAAAGCAACAGATATTGAATTATATCTACCAAATAAAACTGACTCCATTAAATTAAAATTTTTAAGTAATGAACAAAAGTGAAAGTATTGCTGATGCTCTTGCTTCCGCCCTCTTGGCAATACAAACAAAAGTGAATCGAATGTCAATGCATTATTTCTTTTTGCTCATAACTTTTAAAATACACATTTATTATTGCATATTAATTATACTGATATTATTGACATTAATATACAATAAACAGAGTGCTTACCTGAAAATTTAGCAGAGACGAGATACTCAGCTAGCAGAAGGAACAGAACTAAGAAAATAGTCGTGAAAATCCTCAGACATTAAAAAAAAGCTATGTTAAACTCTTTAGTCAGTCCCTCTTAATAATACTAGACACGGTAAAATGTGAATTCATTCACCAGAAAATACATTTCCACGATTTCTAAGTATCACATGAATAAAAACACGGTATAAACTCTATTTCTAATCAAAGAGGAAGTAACTAAAATTCCAAGCCGTTAGCATAAAAAATAATTTCCTTTCAAAGGTTTATTGAAACATTTAACAATGAATCGGGAAGGCAAGGTCAGCCTTGCAAGGATACCTCCCATTAAAGAAGAATTACGTGAACAAAGTCAAGAAAGGTCAGGGTGTGGGAGACTGAAAAATTTCTTGTGGTCACATTAAATGTTTGCTATAACGTGTATGTGACATCCGTGCGACATTCACATCCACATTCCAATGTGACAGTTCTGCGACGTTGTATCGTGGTTACAAATGTAATGTGACGGTAATGTAACATTGAGATATCACTGTAAAGTTTAGCAACTAAGTGTTCTATATGGAGTTATAGCAATTCCATAAACAAAATTTCAACGTTCTACGGCTAATCTTTTCTGAGTTTTGCCAGAAACCTACATACCCATGTACAGACGTCACGAACGTACGTACAGACTATACAAACGCCACGAAAGAAATCCCTTTTGAATATATTTTAAATCTATTTTACAATCCGTTTTCGAAAAAAGCATTCTTAATTTTGTTCGTACGTGCAAACGTCAAGCCCCCCCCCAAAAAAAAATTAAAATGCTTCTGCTGAAATACGAAAACTGGAATTTTTGAAGATTACATTATTTTCTTTACTTTGTACAAGGAAGCAAAAATATGTAACTTTAAACCTAAGAAAAAAATATTTTCAACACAAGGTATGTAAAGTCTCAGAATCTTTAAGCATCAACACACGTACAAAAGTATAAGCAAACATTTTGATGAAATGAAGCATATTTTTTCAACGTTATTTTTAAAGGCCTTTAAAGAATGAATATAAAATGTATTTGAATATTGATTTCAAAATTTAAACTGAATGAATGTAAAGCTTGAAAATATATGATTTGATATGAATGTAAAAAAATATTTTCGAACATAGGTATATAAAGTCTCAATCTTTAATGCACATGTACAAAGTATATACAAACATTTGGTGAAACATTTGGCACATGTTTTCAATGTTATTTTTAAAGGCCTTAAAGAATTATATTCATTATTCATTATATTCAAATGTATTTGAATTTTAATTTCAAAATTTAAGCTGAATGAATGGAAAGCTTGAAAATATATGATTTGATATGAAAATCTGAATAAGAAATGCTTTATAGGTTCTAGACATTACGTGTTTAAGATAAAATTTCACTAAACACGCTGTTTACAAGTTTCATTTTATTACTGATAACTGAAGTTTACAAAATTTCATTTTATCATTTTTATATTTTTAAACATCATTGAGAAAAAATTTAATAAAAAATTAAAATCTGAAGGGGTTCCGATTTTAGCGGTCGCTCAAAACAGCTGTTTAAAGTTTAATATGGTCTATCAATATTAATATACAGTGTCTCGCAAAAGTGATGGGACACTTGTGCTTTACAAAAGGAAACTGTAGTAAAAATAAATTACAGAAACATGTAAAAATTTTTTGTGGGTGTGTTTCATACTTAAATTTAGTAACAATTATTACCTAATATACATTTTCTCAAAATATTAAAATAATAATTTAATAAAAATACAATTGTTTAGAACGGAGCAAAAAATGGCTCACATAAGTGATGGGAAACTTACTTTTCCATCAAATATTTATCCAAAAATTTTACTTTTTAAAAGGTTTTAATATTTTGTTGGATATCCTTTTACTTTTAAAACATGATTTAATCTTCTTGGGATGGTTTCGACTAATTTTTTTTATGATTTCTGGAGTGATTTTTACCCCATTCTTCTTGAAGCACCGATTTTAATTGTTGTTTTGAAGAAATGGTGTGTTTGCGAATTCTTGATTCCAATTCTTGCCAAATATTCTCTATGGGATTTAAGTCTGGAGATTGTGGTGGTGTTTTTATTATTTCCGGATAGTTATACTGCTCTAACGTTCAAAGCAGTGTGCTTGGGGTCATTGTCCTGGTAGAATTTAAAATCGTTATGAAGGTTCAATTTTCGTGCTGAAGATTTCAAATTTTGATTTAAAATGTCAATATACTTGTACTGATCCATTATACTGTCAATAAAAACAAGATTACCAACTCCAGCGGACGACATACACCTCCATACCATAACTCCTCCTCCACCATGTTTTACTGTTGGCTCCAAGTTCTGTTTGCGAAATTCTTCCCTGGGTTTTCTCCACACCAAGATTCTACCGTCAGAACCAAATATATTAAATTTACTCTCATCAGCAAATATAACTTCATTCCAGTAATCAGAATTCTTATTTATGTTGGATTTTGCGAAAGCCAGTCTGAGTTTTCTATTCTTTTCACTTACGAAGAATTTTTTCCTCGCTACTCTACCGTGATATCCAGCAAATCGAATTACTCTTCTAATAGTCTCAGGATTAAAATTTATTCCATATAATGCGTGTAAATCAGCAGCAACTTTAGGAGCACTCATTCTTGGATTTTTTTTAATATTTCGAACGATAATTCGCTTTATTCCATTGGATAGCTTTGATGGTCGGCCAGGTCTTCTTTTATCCTGAATCATATGATTCTTTTTATATCGTTTAATGATATTGAAAACTGTTGAATGACTCAAGTTAACTGTTTCCCAGCAGTTTCTCTAATAGATTTTCCACGTTCAATATGCAGATTAATAACTAATTTTCGAATTTCAGGCAAGGTTTCTTTTCGTTTGGCATTCATGGCTGCACAGAGCTAAAAAACACAAAAATTCCAAAACAAACTGGAGCGAAATACTGCAGACGATTTTATAAATTATTGCCAATTGCTTTTGAGTAAAAATAAAAAACCCCAAAAGTATTTTTATTGTAGTACGTAGTAGTATCTAATGGTGTCCCATCACTTATGTGAACCATTTTTTGCTCCGTTCTAAACATTTGTATTTTTATTAAATTAATATTTAATATTATGAGAAAATGTATGTTATGTAATAATTGTTATTAAATTTAAGTATGAAACACACCCACAAAAATGTTTACATGTTCTTTTAATTTATTTTATTACCTTTTCCTTTTGTAAAGCACAAGTGTCCCATCATTTTTGTGAGACACTGTAGATGATCCAGGTAGAATAGCTAAAAATTTGAGAGTATACTAGATGAATATACATCGAGACTAACATGGGAGAATTCTATATCTTCTATGTATTTCAAAATTGAAAAACTATGGAAATTATTCTATAAAAATAATTATATTGTCTTTAATTAAATGTATCAAGAATTTAATACATTATTTAAATCAATCCGATTAAAAAAGCCAGGAAATAATATTCTTAAGAATTGCATCTGTTGCTTTTAAATAACTTAGTATGATAATTCAGAAAGGACAGATTCAATTTGAAAGATACCTATGTTATATTTTGCTGAATGGGAATAGACTGGAATGCACAGTGAAACAATGTAAAATCGTGTTTCGAGCCTAATTATCCCCTATGAGTTAATAATGGCGAAAATTTCAATCTTTAAAGCAGCTTACATTTTAAAAAAACCTGTTTCATAATTGCTACAGGACTTTTACATGTCAAACAAATATAAATATTTATGCTTCGAAAACAGGGAAATAAATTTCGTTCCTTATAAAATCTGAGAAATTTTAAAAAAGACACTTACCGTCCTAAAGCTGATTGAATCCAGTTTTAATTCATAGCTGGGCAACATGTAGGAGAAATCAACATAAATGATTTTATTCAATATTTGACGAAACCAGCAACGTGACACCTCCACTCGCCGTAGAACCTAATCAGAAAAAACACTGGAGAATTGCTCAATCCTTCGCTCAAATGAAAGCGGGAAACTTCACTTTCCGGCAAGTCTTCATGAATCGGGAGGGAAAAAAATAGTAAAAGAAAATTCCAAAGTCAACTTGTTCGCTGTTTAGCCTTCGTTTAGAATGCCTTCTGGGAGTTAAGTTGGGTTTTTTTCTGTTTGTTTCTCTCTCCAATGCGGTAATAGAACGAATAAAAATGGTAATAATCGTGTGCAAAGCGGAGAGAGTCCCATAATGAAGAAGGAAAACAAAATTTGGGTGGAGCTGATAAAGTTTAAATTGGAGCAGTTTTCATTGTTTGTCAGCAACAACAGCCTCTTCACAAATTGTATTAAATGAAGAATAAATTAAGATATTCCTCGGGGAAATGAAATGTTTTGAACCATCTGAGCCTTGATCTGCTTTTCATCGATGTACCAAATTAACGGAATGTTGTTGCTTCTTGTTTGTAAGAAGACCAGCAAGAACAAAAGCAAGGTGAAATTTCTTCTTTAACGTAAGGAATTCAAATAAATAATAATTTTCACCTACCGGCCTTGTTTTTGAAGAACAATCAGTTAATCCATCTGTTTTTTGGTAGTTGATTATAAATACAATCACTTTTATCAGATATTCAGAAGTGTTGTTCTTTCCTGAACATTAGCACAGCTTCTCTATATGAAGAACTGTTGAATAAGATGCGGTCACGACGAAATACTAATAAGGCTAAATACTGTCATATGTTTATAAAAACGAACGATATAGCACGAAAATAATTCCACCTCCCTCTCCCTCTGGGCTTATGTTAAACAGCTAAAGTAGGATGATGAAACAAATAAGAGCGCGACCTATGAACTGCTACAGAACCTCATTCGAGAAGCGTGCAGACGATTATGAGTGATGAGGAAAGAACGTCACCGCACGCGATGCAACTGGTGGGGATGAGCCGCGTTTTCGCGGGCCAAACCGATTGACAGAATATGGCTCCGAGAGAACAAATTTTCAGCGGGACTGCTGTGAAAATCTCTCGGAATATCCCCAGCGCCATCTATATGCTGCCGCTAAAAATAAACCTCGTTTTTCTTTCCCTGCACATCGTTGATCATGTGTTCGAAAATTTGTCACCAGATGCTCAAGGGTGAAGAAGGAAATGTCATTGACAGAGAACTTTCTCAGGAACGTAACAAAAAATTTTGCATCGAGATATGGATTTTTGGTTGCTTTCCGTTGTATGACACAGTGTTTGTTTCCAAGCCTTCTGTTTTTTAGTTTTATTTACAAATATTAGTTATTAAATATCAGCAAAATAACTTCCTTTCTTTTTCACTTATACTATTCACCTAGTTTAAAACTGCTTGTTTTGAAAAAAAGTTATTCAAAACGTTTCTGGCAAGGGGAAAAAAAAAAAAAATATTCAATAAGTTCTGAAAATGAACTCACATAAGTATTCGGCAAGCAAGTTTAGCAAACAGTTTACATTTAATAAAAACATGAATATCTTTTACTTGAAATGATACTTTTCATGCTCTTTTCAAATGGATTCAACTAATATTTTAGTATGAGAATGCTTCATTTGTTCCATTCTTACATAATGAATTCTGTTTAGTACAACTGTCAAAGGAATATCATGTTTTCTTATTGTTTTCTTCAGTACCGTCCTTGTATGTTTTATATGTTTAAGTCCGGAGAATATTTAGGAGTTTTCGTAATTTCAGGACATTTGTGTAATACCCATAAGCGAACATTTAGGAATGTATATTTAAGATCATTATCCTGATAGAATTTGAATGCATTTTGCATTCCAAATTTTAGTTCAGATGCTTTCAGGTTTTCATTAAAAATATTTACATATTTATACTAAATCCATATTATTTTCTACATACACTAACTTTCTTATCCCAGAGGCGAGGCACAGAAATATCCTTAAACCATGATGCATGTGCTACTAAGTGGGCAATAGGTTTCTCGAAATCAATTATTAAGTCTGCTTTTTGCCATACATTAATTTGTCTATCTCACCCAAGTATATTACATTTTGACTTTTCTGTAAATAAAAGATTGTTCCAATGTGACAAAACTTATAAATTTTGAGAACACCAGGTGTATTTTCTGCTTTTCTTATTGGCAAAAAATATTTTTCTTGCTGACTGCCCTCTGTATCCCTATATCCGAAATTATTCTTAAAAATGCTTCTTTGATTCTTTGATGCTAGTTTGGAATGTGGTCTAGACTTCAGTGCATTTTCAGAAATTCCACTTAATTTGTCTCGTTTCATAGCATCATAGATATTTAAACGCTCTACATGAAGGATTTTATGCATATTTCGAATTTTTTTAGCATCTTTAAAAAAAAAGGAATTATTGAATTTATACAGAATAATCGTTAATTTGAAGCGTCTTGCCATGTTTAATTTAGACACATAGATATTAATATATTTTCCTAAGGGAGTAAAAATTTCTAAATGTAGACGATAATTCTTGTTATATATTTTCATTGAAAATAAAAAATTACAAGAAGCTTATCTATCAAAACATCTCCCCCAAAAAATTTGGGTGTCCGAATTAATTATGAGTTACTGATTAGCACGTTTTGAGCAGATCATTTTATTGCAAGGTATATTTTGAGGATATTTCTTTTACATCAAGAAAAGCTTAAAATAAAGATAAAATAATATATTAGAGAAAAATATGAAGTCTGTGTTTTTGTTATAAGGTATTTCACCCACCTTCTTAGCATGCCTTCGTGGTGTAATGGTTCTGCACGCTGGGCCGGAATTCCAGAGGTCCGTGGTTCGATTCTCGGCTAAGGCGGTTGCTAATTTTTCATCTCTCCGGCCTCGAAAAAATCGTAATGTATCTACAGTGGCGCCCGAACTAAAAGGATGTTGGATGAGGATTCTCCACACCCAGGATTTGGCGATTGGGTCCTCTAAATCCCCAGTCGCCCTTTAAAAGGGGGAGTATATAAGGTATTTCTCCTACCTTCTTAGCCTGCCTTCGGGGTGTAGTGGTTCTACACGCTGAGCCGGTATTCCAGAGGTCCGTGGTTCGGTTCTCGGTGAAGGCGGTTGCATATTTTTCATCTTGCCTGTTTTCAAAAATACCTAATGTCTCCACATAGTATTTAGTACGCAATTTATTCAAATGAGTTTAAATAATACCAAGTGTCCGAAAACAAATGTGAGCCACTGTAAATATCTTCTGATCCATTACTTGTTTGCACGAAAAGCCAACGATGCAGACTTATAGACCAGAAAAAAGGTTACCAGATCGAATATTTAAAAAAAATTCTCTTTACAGTTTAAACTTTAATTAAACGATCCCGAAATCATTCAAAAAGTGTGTAAACACCCACTGTAGAACGTTCCCGTGATATTCTCAATATATATGTATCTAATAGCCTGTAAATCAATGCTTCTAATTTTTTACACCATGCACCCATTTCACCATTGCTAGACGACCATCCCTTTTGCCTCATTTCCAAAACCTAAAAAATAGATGTACGTTTATTTCAATTTAAATTTTTTTTAACATGTTTCTATAAATTAAACAAGAAAATATACAGAAAATGATGATAAATACAATTACACGCTTATGGGTTCGTAATGGATTGAATGCACACAGAACCGATAACTTGATAAAATTTATTTTCGCAAAAGGAAAGCTCTATAGTTCCAGACCTTTTCACAAACGTGAGTAGTCGCCACTTCAAACTACTAAGTCCTCAAATCTCAACTAAGAGCTGATGCTCTGTCCAGTCTTGCACAGTTTTTCCCCAGGAGGCCGAAAAAGTTCCAATAAATTCGATTTCCCGAAATTCTTGGAAGGGATGTATAGTTACAATTATAAATGAATCGGACAAAAATTTCGCTAAATGGTCGCCAAACTGGGCAACTTTTGGCGATTTCTCACCGCCAGCTTGGCGCTCTCTCGCCATATCATTTACCTCAACGTGAAATGGACCTGCCCATGTAATCTTACTGTTCTGGAAGAGCTTCATTTTCTTGAGGCCTGTCATGTTACAGGAGATACTACAATTCACACAGAATTTCAGTAAAATTATTGACATGTATACAAATTCGGTAACAATACCAAAACTTTAAGAAAAATAAAGTTTAAAACTTTAAAACAAATAAGAGTTTTATATTCATAAACTACAACTAAATGCTTAAAAGGTAAATGATAGACTGACTATATTCCTTCCCTGAAATTACGGAGTCCCTCTTGGGGAAAACTCAAACCTGGCTGAGAATACTGCTATAAAGTATGTCTCTTTTATGCCTGGGCCATCTCTGTGGTTCGGATAAACTATATTACTTTTTAAAAGAGCTCTTTTTGCTGACATCTCAAATCAGAATTCAGAATTTTTATTTATTTGTTGTTTGAACTTTTCTTAAGTGGCTTGTCTCTGTTTTTAATATACAGGTTTTTTTTATACTGAATGGGACAAAAAGGAATCATACCTGTGAACGCTGTAGTTACTTTATTTTGATAAATCAAATTAACAGTGAAATTATAGTTATCCAAGTTTCCATAGATGTTATATGTGTACCTTCCCGGTGATACGGTAAATATCTGTGCAATATTCTAATTCCTGCCATACTCTTGATAAGAAAATTAGAATATCCTTTGTTATTGATTCGAGCACTTCATTTATCCACTGCTTCAGTTGCTTTACGTTTTGGGGAACAGCGCTAACACGCTGTCTTTAACCAAACTCCATAGTAAAAAATTGCAAGGGGCTAGATCTAGGGATCTTGGTGGCCGACAAAGCAATGACATGCCGTTTGAGCCAGCATGGCCAGTTCAGCGATAGAATATACTGCCGTGCAGGTACTAGCGTACTTTTTATCCCAATGTGGTGGAGGATCGTCTTGCTGCAGAATGACGACAGGAACCGCTTTCTCTAACTGAGGGAACACCACTCATATATATAGCATATCTTAGTAAAATACACCCGCTAATCAATTTTTCCACGGACAAAAAAAGACCAAAAACACAACTGTTGAAAATGGTGGCGAAAATTTTCACTATTGGAGAATCACTCTCATGTTCCATTAGAACATGCGAATTGTCCGTGCCCCCAAATCGTAAATTATGGTAATTAACTTTGCCAGAAACGTGTAAAGTGACTTTACACGTTTCTGGCTTAATTCTTATCCGTGAGCATAAGTCTATTTGGGAAACCATCTACCTTCAGCTTATCTTGCGAATTCTCATAGAAAGCTTTACGTAACCTTTTGCCGGAAGTTGTCAACGCCTGCACCAGGCATTGTAGATGTGTCCGTAAAACACGGCCAAACCGTTATATGAGGCATACTAAATTCAGAATTCACACGACATTTTGATTTTGTGGGACTTTGTAAAAGCGTTTCACGAATTTTTCAATCATTTCGGTTTTGGCTGCTGTTCGTCCTGGATTGGTTTTCTTACACAAGCAGCCCGTGTTCCGAAACTCTTCAGCCACCTTTCGATATCATGACGATTTGATAGTTCTTTACCAAATTTCGTGTGAAAATGTCTTGAACGACGATAAACGATGATGTTTTGTTGCATTCCAAAACACAGTACGTTTTCTTCTGCATGGATGGCACTATTTTTATTAACAGTGCCTCTAGCGGCGATTTTGTAATCAGAAGACTTTTCTGCTGTTGCCAGATAAAACTTGTATAATTGTAGCTTCAGAATTAATTTGTTTTGGCCTAAAAAACCAGTTACAGAATTTGTACGTAATGTGCTATACTTTTTGTCCCATTTAATATGAAACATTCTGTATTTGGCTTGCGTTTTGGAAATTTGGTATTTCTTTGTTTTGATTTACCTGATTTTGCTCGACATTCATCTTGGCAGTTCAATTGTTTTATTTTCGCATTTTATATTTCCCGTGTTTTGCTCCCAACAAGTTGAATAAGACTTAAATCTGGATAGTCAGAGAAAATTTTGATTACCTCAGGGCAATAATTCATCGTCG